GGGGCGTGGGGTTATCTCTACGCCCCCCCACCTTCCCTTCACCCCTCTCTTACCTGTGTTTGGTGTCCCATGATATTAGGCATCCCTGTACTCTTGTACCCCAACCTGCTGCACACATCCACCTTGATCGCCTCACATTTCAACTCCAAGCACAGACACGGAGTCGTCAAAATAAATAAATACAAGAAAATCTTCATAATTGTTCTTTTAATCTCACACAATAATATTATTTAATATTTAGCCCATTGTTATGTTTCTTTTTCCTGAAAATATAATTTAGAGAAACTAATTAAATAATAATATAATTTAAGCCAATCTGATCCTTCACAGCAATTCCAGCTATAATACGTAAATTTAAAGCAAAAACTTATGTGTCCACTAAGTCCCAAAATAAATTTATTTGACGTATAAACAATTTTCTACTTTGTTTAGATGAAAAATAAACAAATATGCGCAATTGCCCCGTAATATTCTGTCGGAGATTGAAGACGAGTCTACGCTGATGAAATAAATAAAATATAGACTCTACGCAAAAATAAAATAGTCGAAGCCGTTATTCAATGTCGTCTTTTAAGAAAATAATTTTGTGTAAAGCTTTAAAGTTTTAAAGTAAAAGTACATATGAACTTAAGACGACGACATTAATTTTTAGCTTAAATATATTCACAATTCCTAGAAAGAAGAAATAGATTTTTACCAATATTAATATGTGTCATTTCTCTAAAGTACAATTATAAATGATTTGGCAATTTTTTTGTGTCATGTTAAAAATTGCATTTCAACATTGATTCAGAACAAACTTATTTTTTCTTATTTTTGTCAAAGGGCAGTCACAGAATGAGGGGGTACCTTCACACTCCGGCCCTGGCCGCAACGCCCCCTGAAATTTTTGAGGTTAAAATTTTTTAAAAAGTGATTTAATTAGTTACTAACATTTGTTTTGCTATAACAAAATCAAATACACACATGTTGTCTTTTTGTACCATAATTTTCTGGTTCTCACTGTGGCAAAATATCAAATTTTGATTAAACGAACCGATCACAATTTTAACCAAAAAAAGTTTCCATTTTAATATTCATCCAATTTGTAAACAAATGAAAATGTGACATAAATTCTTGATTAGTAGCTTAACCACAAGAAACTTTAAAATTTGAAAACTGTTGAAACAAGTGCCACTCGGGCCTCGATTATTTTTAAATCGACAGAGATATTTATTTCTTCTATCTGCTGCATAAATTTGTAAGTCACAGTTAAAATGATTGATTTTTATATGAAAAAGCAACTCCGCTGCACGCAATTCCGCGAATATTTAATTGCTACCTTGTTTACAATTATAGCGCAATTGCGCGCGCAATGAAATGGCGCAAGTGGAAGAAACCATTTGGCGCAATTCCGCAAACGAAATTTCGCTGCAGTGTACTTCGATTTACATGTATGAGCAGTGTGTATTGTAGGATTTAATTAAAATTCTGTTCAAATTCTTCTAAATTATTTGCATCCGCACCTGTTCCTCTTCTTGCTCTTTAGAATATTCTCCCCCTCCCCATTTCCCTTCATGCCTTCCCCCCTCTCCTCCTTCAAGAACCCCGCTCCCGGCCTTCATGCCCCTCCTCCTACATTCACCCCACCCCCTCTTCTCACTTTCTAAGTAATCAGTTTTGATTATTTTTATTTGTTTAAAATGCATTTTCAAAAATATTTAATTTTGACAGTTTTTCTGATTAAAATTTTTCTTAACCTTACTTGGGGCCACAAAAATTTGGGATCTATCGTTTCAGTCGTTTTGGTTTAAAACGACGAACAAACAAACAGACACCAGGGACAGACAAACAATACAGAAAAGCAACTTTTTGTTGTACAAAGTTTTTATTATTTCACAACAAACATAAAAATCACTCGTGTATGATAAAACCGATGAAAATTTATGTTGGAAAGTAAAAAATCTTTGATTTGTTTAGCTTTTAGAATTGGTAAAATTCTAGATTTCAACCTTATCAATTTATAATTGTATTTACACGATAACATCGCAAAAAATTTTTGTGTTGAATCTAAATTAACAATCATGTAAACTGTAGATACTTAAATAAATATCTAGATCTTAAAGTTTAGCTTTTAGAAAAATTTGCTGAGAATTTTTAAATTGTTAGAGTCCATAAAATGGCCACTTAAAACCAATATTTTAATTGATTTTTGTTTAAATAGATAAAAAAAGTTAGATTCCAACTTACTCTGTAAACATACAAAATGCGAGTATTTTAACGAACAAGCATAATTAGCTTTGTTTTTAGAAGAAAATGTAAACAAATTTAAAGTGACCCTTTCATTTAAAAATAGGTCTAATTAACGATTCACAACGGTTTCCTTCAAATATAACGATAATTTTGTTTTTTTAAACATCCGGCCGTGTTTTATGCGGTTAAGAATTGAATTATCTTTAAGTTACCCTGGTCTAATATTGTGGGGTTGACTCTGATATAAATAGAGATGGGTAATAGTTAGATTCCTTTTACAGAAGCTTTTAATATTTTTAGACTTATAAAAGGTTTTACGCCAATGTAATTCTAAGAAGGGTCCAGCGATTTAAAATTGTATTCTGTAGAAGTTTGCTTTTATCAAACATGCAAATTTGTTATCCTATGTGAAAATATAAGGCAAAAACGAACCAAAAACTATCGTTTTAAAAATCCAAAATGATCGTTTCAAAACGATCGTTTTTTTGCCTTATGTTTTTTAGAGAAAAAATGTTGCATGTTTAAAGTTTTAAAATGTTGGAACCTTCATCACAAATGTCGTAAAAAGTCTAAAAGTTTTTGTAAAACAAATCTAGCCATTGCCCATCTCTAAATATAAGATATTAGGCTAAAACTATAGATTTATAACAAAACAAATCTAAGAACACCATGAACCGTGTTTTCAAGATTTAGGGTTTTTTGTTCACAATAACCCTGAGACAGAGGCCCAAAGGAGTACCGCGCAGGCAGTGTTGAATAACAAGACAGAGAGAAAGCATGTGCGTAATTTTTGAACATGTTGTGACATTTAAGAATTTAGTAAAGTATGAAACTGAAGTTATTATCTTGAAATCAAATATTTATTTTGAAACTAAATAAAAAAAATCAAATCACAGAAAATTTATTTTTAACAGAGTGCATTAATAGCATTAATAGCCGGGTCAAAATGATTTTCTATACAATTGTTTATTTTAAACATTTTTTTTTACGAAATATGTCAAATTTTGACCTTGACAAAAGTTATATCCAAAAAATGAGCCCAAAACTATCCAAAAATGATGCAAAAACAAACGTGGTGAAACGATTGTTTTTGCATCATTTTGATAAAAATTTAAGATATTGCAAAGTTAATGAAAGCAAACTTTAACATAATAACGGTTTGAAATCTTGAAGTTTTGTATATTTTTTTTAACATTTCCAACCGGTAAACAACAAAAATTAATATTGAGTAAAATTGCTTTATTGCGTGATTAACGTGAAAAGTTAAGGCTTGCATTTTTGGGACGCAAAATAAATGTTACGTATATAATATCAAGATTTGGAAAAATTCAAATTTGAAAACTATTTTGATAAATACAAAACATGGCTAAATACGTGCGTATAGATAGTGGCGTTTGTTTATGAGAGGGGGGGGGTATATGACCTTACCCCCCCAGCCCCCCTTAGTTATTAAGAAGGGTAAAATAAAAGCTCCCCACCACCAAAAAAGCACGAACTCTGAAATCTCATGCAAAAGCCATTTACGCAAGGACAGTATACATTTTTTTTACATCTTCTACAACATATCTATATTAACCTAACATCAAAATTTGTATAATAATACTGTCGATGGTATTAAATTAAAAAAATTACAGTAAAACTAAAATAAGATGTTTTTGTTTAAGAAAACTCAGAATTAAGAATAGAACGGAACTCAAAAAAACTTATAAATCTTATTTTGTTTAAAGGTAATTTGATCTCTGTTTTTAATGATAATTACTACACAATATATACATAACACGTCTAATAAACTTGGAAATTAGTAGACAAGATATTACAAGTTTTAAAACTGAGTATTATTTTTTTGCTTTTTTCTCTATAATGTATATGACACATTTATTAAAAAAAAATGGTTGGATTTTAAAGGAATTTAATCAAACTAGGCTCTTCGCGCCCATCTCTTCTATTTAAATTGTGAACATGTTCTTTTTTTTACATTTTAAAACAAAGAAGAAAAAAATTTGCGGATTTTCAAGAATTCCTTGTGGTCACGTGATGTCCCACAAAAAATGTGGGCCCAATCGGTTCAGCCGTTTTGACGTTTATTGGATACAAACAAACAGACAGACAAGCCAAATTTATATATAGATTAGAAAATCATTGATTCTCAGAGTATTTCTTTGTAAATATTAATATTATGAAGAAGTCAAATTTTTTTCTTTCAATTTTCTAAAAACATTTTAAAAATGAGTTTTAACAGATGCAAATACATAAATGAAGTTTCAATTACATGAAGTTTGAGAAATACTTTAATTATTTCGTCATAACGCATTGTTTCGCCTTGTCATAATTACACTTTCAGCTTTATTTTTTTATGTAAAAAAGCTGAAGAGACTGTATATTAATTCTAAAGTGTGCTATTAACGATTAACACGAATTTCTTTTTAAAGTTACTTTGATGGTCAATTTACAGTAATCTTAGTTGAAATACTTTTTTTCTAATTAGATGTTTTTAGAGAACCTTTCGGAAACTTTTTTAAATTCGATTTAAAAAAATTCCACGGACAACGCCAGGTACTTCAACTAATATATATATATACTAGCTTGGGAAGCCAGCTTGCACAGGGTACTCATAGTTACTCACGCCGTTCAACCGCACTTGACCGATTTTACCGATAAACTAACTTTTCACTGTAAAAGTACACCCACTCAACTTAGAATCTTACAACCATAAGCTAAGAAAATTCTCACTGGCCTCCCTAGTTCTCAAACCAAAATTTGAGGCAAATCGGCCCAGGGGTTCCTGAGTTATGATCGGACAAATAAACTATATTGCAACTATATATATTACGTAGTTTTTTTATAAGAAAATAATCTTAAAGAAGCAAAAAAAACAATACTTTAAAAAGATCAATATTTAAAAATTTGTAGGGCAACAACTTGGAGTCTCTGCCATGGTACAATGGCAGGCGTTTATATCAATACAATGAAGACGACTTTTATTTTAAGTTTTAATTTATAACAAGCATTTTTTAAATTATAATTTTACAAGAAGCTGTTGCAATTGACAACTTTCGCTTGTTGTATCCATGCTAATTGAAAGCTTGGTACTTGGTAGAAATCTAAATTGAAATCAAAAGTCGTCTTTATTGTATTGATATATACGACGACGACTGTACAATGTTAGGGGTCTATATTCCTATTAAATGAACAGCTTGTGATTGTTTACATATATGTTTGTCTCTATGTATTTCCACCGGACAAAACAGAACTTTTTCAGAAGTATTTTTGATTTAAAATTCTTGTGGGAAGAATATTTTCTTTAAAAGTAAGTTAAGCATATGTTTACAAACAGTACACACTATACTGCATAAAGTACGCTGCTTAACATAAAGTAAGTTTAGCATATGTTTACAAACAGTACACACTATACTGCATAAAGTACGCTGCTTAACATAAAGCAAGTTTAGCATATGTTTACAAACAGTACACACTATACTGCATAAAGTACGCTGCTTAACATAAAAGGCAAGGTTATAATGCAATGAAAGTTAATTATAGTTGCGTATTCTCTGTGTACATATTGAAACCAGGTTCTCTCTGGGCGGAATTTGTAAACAAGAATAGATGCATCAATATTCGTTTAGTATCCGAGGAGGTTAAAAGCATTAAATTTTGATAATTTTGATAATTCACATAATAGTTTCCTTTGACCAGAATATTTCATTTATTTTTTTATGTGAAATATGGATTCCATATTAGGCTTTGAGCCTTTGACATCCTTCTTGTGTTTACATTACTGCCCAGAGACAGAACGCTGCATGGAACGAAAGATGCATACACCTCTGAAGTAAATTTCCTTGCATTATAACCTTGATATAAGGAAGGACAAGTTTAAACTTCTAAGGTAGTAGAATCATCTGACTACATGTATGCTGTACAGTGTTATACATACAGTGCAGAAAAGAAAGTTGTCATCATTGTCGTGATATAAACGCCTAACACTTTAATTTAAAATTATCAATATATGATTTAATGAATTAGATAATTACTGTAAAAAAAAACACCAGTTGGCAAATGAAATATTTGGTAGACATCTAATAGACTAATATTCAATCAATCAATTGATTCATCAACCAGTCAATAAATGTATTGATCAACCAATCAATCTATTCGTTGATCCATTATCCTGGTCCCATGAGTTTATCTTTGGCACAGTCAGGACAAATAATATCTTCTCCATCAGTTATAAATCCTAAAGTATTCAATCAATTAACCCTAATTCAATCAACCAATCAATCCATCAATCAATCAATCCTTCGTGATTCATATATAAATTAATTCTTCATCAAGAAAAATGATCCATTCTGCATCAAAGTAAAATATCTATTCTTAATTAAAGCAAAAAATCAATTCTTTTAAGAAAGCAATTCGTTACCAATTTTAGCAATCAATCCTTCAACCAACTCCAAAACCATATTATAAAAAGACAAAATTTATTAAAAAAATTTATTTCAAACTTCACAAAAAAACTTGTTGAGACAAACAGCAACACCATAAACCCAAAATCTAAGAATATTCAACAAAGCAACTGAGCACTTGTCTTGACCCCAATCTCTGTTATAAACAAAATTTCAGTTTGAAACATCAAAATTCAAAGGTCTTTGACATCAAGTTGCATTTGCATACATTATGAGGATCAGAACATTACAATTTGTTGGGGAAAGCATTCAAGAATGTTTAAGTTCTTCTCAATAGTTCTTTGTAAGAGTACATAAGGTTAAAAACATGTAGAATTCTAATCTAACAATGAATTAACTTTTGTTTGACGTGAAGAGTAATTAATTTATTTTAGCTTAATTTCTTTACCTTTGCCCGCCATTGATTTCTGACAGAGAGCGCAGATAAAACACATGGAGTGCCAGTGCCTTCCCTCAAAGGAGATAAACCTAAAATAAAGTATAACAGTAGTGGGAAAATATAAATTTTTATTTGATTTTAAATCATATTCTATTTCAGACATATAGGATTTTTTTAATCCATCGGGAGATGGGTTTATTGAAAATTATGTTTAGAAACAGAAGAAGTATCTCAAAATTCAAGCAAAACCGGTGTACATTTGAATATCCGAGCTGGGCCAACTTTTGGTGTCTTGGTTTGGACTGTCCCGACTGGTCATACTGTCTTCAGGCTGCTATAATAATTGAATTTGCATTTACTGAAGGGATAAAGGAAAATGAATTGATACCGAGCTAATGCTAAAGGGAAAGGGTTCGTATAAACCTGAACACCATTCTATTGTATTCAAACACTCCCACTAAAGTAATAATTTTTATCCCCTTCTTGTGTGAAAGATAATCTGATAAATATTTACCAAGAATTAATTACCAAGAATTAATTACTAAACCAAATATGAAGACAATGGGCTCTTTGTAATCATCTACTACTTCATTAAAAATATAAAAGTACAATAGGATTATTCACCTAAAAAACATAATTATACCCTAATTTTCAAAATCAGGATTATACCAATAAAAATTTCTCTGAAATATTTTGTTAAAAATCCCGTTTTTAGTAAATTACCCCATTTTCTTACGATGCAAATTAATCGAAGGAATGATGAAATATAATCTGTTCAGTTTATAAAATTTAACTATTTATTAAACTTATTAAACAAAATGCGGCTTGTAATTTGATTTTTTTTAAAACATCTTTGAAAAAGACATAGTTAATTGAATTTCTTAGTCAATAAAAGGGAGTACTATGATTATTTTGAAAATACCCAACCTGGTTCCACCCTGCCCTGTGATTGGTTGAGAGCAGCTAGCACATCTAAAATAACAGAATTTTTAAAAGACTGCAGGAGAAGAATCAGTCAGGGTCACCAGACAATCTTCTGATGCATTAAATATACTAACAACCAGATGCAGGACTGAGGTTAGAAGAAATTTCTTCACCAACAGAGTAGCGGAGAAATGGAACAAATTACCAGAATATATCAAAAGAGCAGGAAATATTAAAACTTTCAAGTCTTTATATGATAAAATACCGGAACAGCAGGAATGAGAAACCTGTGAGTAAAATGCTGGATACATAAAGACGTCATCTCTATCCTCCTATCTGGAACTCTGATGACAAATCTACAAGTATTCCCAAGTATTCCCAAATGATAAATATGTAAAATTAGAAAATGATGGGAACTATCCTAATTTATATTTTCAGGACATATCATAATGATAATGATGACGATGATGATGATAATGATGATGATGACAATGATGACAATGATGATGAATATGATGATGACAATGATGATGATGATGATAATGACAATGACAATGACAATGACAATGACAATGACCATGACCATGACCATGGCCATGACCATGACCATGACCATGACCATGACCATGACCATGACCATGACCATGACCATGACCATGACCATGACCATGACCATGATCATGATCATGACCATGACCATGACCATGACCATGACCATGACCATGACCATGACCATGACCTTGACCATGACCATTGCTGATGACAATGAATGATGATTATGATAAAAAATTACCTTTTTGCAAACAATTCACCAAAGCAGACTGCACAGTAAGGTTTATCCTCTCTACACCATTATACTAACAGTCAAAACAAATCCAACCGGGTAAATATTTTAGTCAAAATTACCTTCCCCCTTTTCATAAAAATTTTAAATGCACTTAAAACAGATTTTCAAAGATCAAGTTAAAGTTCTATTTGAAGGGTAAAATATCTCTGGATTTTTGGTAGATAAATTATTGAAGGATTCATTGAATATGCAAAGAATAACATCTAACGAATGATAGAAAAAAATTGAAATACCATGAAAGTAAACAATTTAAAAGTAGAAATAATATTAAATAAGAAAACATATCTATTATTCAACCATGTCAGAATGGATGAGTAAGGTAAAGAAAGAAAAACATACACCCAAGTTTACGTAAAATTTTCATAAATTTTTATTAAATTTGAATGAAAACAAAAAATAAATGTTTTGAATAATAAGGAAATAAATGCTTAATTTTAGTATGTGAGTATTACTATGAACTAGACAAAATGGAGAAGGTCAAATTTACGCAACTTTACTTTCCCCACATTGAGACCATGGCAATATACTTTAGTTTGATGTGACTATTTAAATTTACTTTAGTTTGATGTGACTTATTTTTACTTTCGTTTGATGTGACGTATATAAATTTACTTTAGTTTGATGTGACATATATAAATTTACTTTAGTTTGATGTGACTTATTTAAATTTACTTTAGTTTGATGTGACTTATTTAAATTTACTTTAGTTTGATGTAACATATGTAAATTTACTTTAGTTTGATTTGACATATATAAATTTACTTAAGTTTGATATGATTTATGTAAATTTACTTTAGTTTGATGTGACGTAGATAAATTTACTTTTATTTGATGTGGTATTTAAATTTACTTTAGCTTGATGTGACATATATAAATTTACTTTAGTTTGATGTGACGTATATAAATTTACTTTAGTTTGATGTGACTTATTTAAATTTACTTTAGTTTGATGTGACTTATGTAAATTTACTTTAGTTTGATGTGAGTTATATAAATTTACTATAGTTTGATGTGACGTATTTAAATTTACTTTAGTTTGATGAGACGTATATAAATTTACTTTAGTTTGCTGTGACTTATTTAAATTTACTTAGTTTGCTGTGGTATAATTCCTGCTGGCAAACTTCTGTCCGGCTAATTGGCCGTTACAGTGAACACACACAAAACATTCCTTATGCCAGGGCTCATTCCTGACAACATTTTATAATAAATTCATACAAATTAGCAATGTTGAAAATAATAGCATCTTATAATTTTATACCAATTAGCAATATAAAAATAAAATCATTTCATAATTCTTCACACATTAAAAATGTTAAAAATAACAACATTTAATAATTTTATACAAATTATTAATGTTAGAAATAATAACATTTTACAATTTTATACAAATTATTAATGTTAGAAATAATAACATTTTATAAATTTATACAAATTAACAATTTTAAAAATAACAGCATCTTATAATTTTATACAAATGAACAATGTTAAAAATAACAACATTTCAATAATTTTATACAATTCAACAATGTTAAAAATAACAATATTTTTGATAATTTTATACAAATTTACATTGTTAAAAATTACAACATTTTATTACTTTATACAAATCAATAATGTTAAAATTAATAACATCTTATAATTGTTCACACACACATTAAAAATGTTAAAAATAACAATATTTGATAATTTTATACAAATTGACAATGTTAAAAATGATAAAATTTTATAATTTAAAAAATTAACAATGTAAAAAATAACCGTATTTTATAATTTTATACAAACTAACAACGTTAAAAATAACAACATTTTATAACTTTATTCAAATTAAAATGTTAAAAATAACAGCATTTTATAACTCTATAAAAATTCAAAAGGTTAAAAATAGCAACATTTATAATTTATACAAATTAACAATATTAAAATTAAAATATTTTAATATTTTTATACAAATTAAAAATGTTAAAAATAGCAACATTTTATAATTTAAACAAATTAATAATGTTAAAAATAACAACATTTTATAATTTTATAAAAATTCAAAATGTTAAAAATAACAGCATTTTATAATTTAATACAACCAGAGCTGAAAACAATAAAATAAGATATCCTAAATCCAGATTGCTTAATCTGAGTATCCAATGTACACACTTTGATTTTATCCTTAATCCTCTCTTTTCAATTATATACTGTATTTAAGTTACCTTTGATAACAAATACTGATGCGATGCTATATCAATTGGACTAATATTAGATTGAAAATGTTTGCAAACCAGTTTTTCAGTCCATTTGAACATTAGATCATTAGAGCAAAATAAAATTTACCATGCAGGTTTTAAAGAAATAAGAAAAATATATTTATATAGAGAGTGAACACTTTCAAAAATAATATTCTAAAAAGGGAGTGATCCTGGCTAGATATGGTTCTAGTTGAACTGAGAGTGCAGTATTATAAAATAAGATGAAATAGATATTAACCTGAAAGTGACCCCTCCAGTTGAACTGAGATTGCAGTATTATAAAATAAGATGAAATAGATATTAACCTGAAAGTGACCCCTCCAGTTGAACTGAGATTGCAGTATTATAAAATAAGATGAAATAGATATTAACCTGAAAGTGACCCCTCCAGTTGAACTGAGATTGCAGTATTATAGAATAAGATGAAATAGATATTAACCTGAAAGTGACCCCTCCAGTTGTCAGAATATTTTTACATTTTGTACATTTTGTGGCAATCTTGTCCTCAAAACATCGAACACAGTAAATATCCTGATCAAATCAAACTCATCTTTTTACATATATATCTAGAGAGTCGGAAACTTATGAACCCAGATGCCAAAACTTTTGATGGCGCTAAACTATTTTAAGAATTAAATACTGGCCCAGAGAAACTTTGCTGTGGCGTGGGAGGGATATCTAAAAGGAAATATCTTAAAGGGACTGTAAGCGAACTTACAACTGATTGCCCGTTTTACAGCAGTACCCTTTCTATTGCAGAGAACATTTAGTAATTATCATAAATAAACCTAGAAAAACGACAATATTTTCCACAACATGAATTAGAGAAAGGTTCCAAGAGTACCGTTGTGATGGGGCATATTGCGATCTTTGAAATTACGCTTACAGTCCATTTAAAGTATAAGTTTAGATTGTTTCTTTAATTGGTCAATCTCTACACAACTTTCAGCTTAACGACGAGACGTCACTTTAAAAAATTTGAAAAAATTCAAATTCAACCATTTAGGATGTTTTAGTAAAGAAATTGAGTCTTTGTCACAAATTCAAATGTTTTAATCCCTAGATCTTTACAACCTAATAATGTAAACCTTGGATTTTTCAAAATTAGATTATCTGACATTTCAAATTGCTTAGTGTAAAATATCTAAGGCTTACGACATTGTGTTGCAAAAATACAGTGATTAGAAAATCAGCGTTTGTGGCAAAGACTCAAAAATAAGAGGGGTGAAATCTTAATCATGAACAATAGATTGAATCAGTTTTCCGACGCTTATCTTACAATTTATGAACATTTCACATTTTACATCAACAGAGAATTAAAAATGTGATTAGAATGAGTTTTTTGCCTTATCATTTGGGATGATGAACGACTTAGATCCAACCTAAAAATATGAAAAAAGTAATTATTTCTTTTTTAAAAAGTTTATATTTTCAGATTGTTAAGAATTTATTAATTAATTAACATAAAATATTTTTGTAAAGAGTTATAACAAAAGCAAATTTTCAAAGCTTTGCTTGTTAAAACCTTTATAATTAAAACATCTTTTGCAATTCCAACAGATGATGTTCTGCCATCAATTTCTTCTACCTTTGTTATTGTAATATTATTTCATACAGTGGTCTTCAAATATCGTGAAATACAAAGAGGAAATTAAAAACATTATTTTAAGATTGTAGATTTGTTTTAGAAAAGCATTATTTTGGATTTTCAAGGATGCAGGAGTTATCCTCATGAAAGGATGCAGGAGTTATCCTCATGAAAGGATGCAGGAGTTATCCTCATGAAAGAATGCAGAGGTTATCCTCATGAAAGGATGCAGGACTTATTTCATGAAAGGATGCAGGAGTTATCGACATAGAATAATGCAGAGGTTATCCTCATGAAAGGATGCAGAGGAGTTATCCTCATGAAAGGATGCAGGAGTTATCCTCATGAAAGGATGCAGAGGTTATCCTCATGAAAGGATGCAGAGGAGTTATCCTCATGAAAGGATGCAGAGGTTATCCTCATGAAAGGATGCAGAGGTTATTCTCATGAAAGGATGCAGAAGTTATCCTCATGAAAGGATGCAGGAGTTATCCCCATGAAAGGATGCAGGAGTTATCCTCATGAAAGGAAGCAGGAGTTATCCTCATGAAAGGAAACATGGTTTTGAACGTTCAAACTTAAAATTGATTATACTTGATTGTAAGTTCTCTATAAAAGTAACTTGCGGATTTAAGCTGGTAAAATTGAAAGCATTTATATTTTAAAGTTTAAGAACGACGATATCTTCCTCATTGTTCCTCAGAAAAAGGGTTAAAAAGTCCATTTGGAAAACAGACATGCCACTCTGCAAATGAGGGTCACTTGAAATTATGTCAACAATCCCTTGAATTTGAGTTGATTTTACCTTTGTTTTACAAACTTTACAATGAAAGCATGAATCATGCCACTGCTTGGACTTGTATTGAATTTTTCTAGTTCCAGGCTGGAATACTTCCTCACAACTCTCACACCTGGGACAAGCTCATGGTAAAAGCTATTTTCAAGGTCAAGGTCAAGTTCAAGGTAAATATCAAGGTAAAGGTAAAGGTAAAGGTCAAGGTCATGGTCAAGGTCAAGAAGAAGGTGAAGAAGAAGGTCAAGATCAAGAAGAAGGTTAAGTTTAAGTTCAAGGTCAATATCAAGGTCAATTCCAAGGTCAATTTCAAGGTCAAGGTCAAGGTCAAGGTCAAGGTCAAGGTCAAGGTCAAGGTCAAGATCAAGGTCATGGTCAAGGTCAAGGTCAAGGTCAAGGTCAAGGTCAATAAGAAGGTCAAGTTTAAGTTCAAGGTCAATGTCAAGGCCAATTTCCAGGTCAAGGTCAAAGTAAAGGTTAAGGTCAAGGTCATTGTCAAGGTCAAGGTCATTGTCAAAGTCAATGACATTGTCAAGGTCAAGGTTAAGGTAAAGTTCAAGGTTAAGGTCAAGGACAATGTCAAAGTCAAGTTCATGGTTAAGGTCAAGGTCAAGGTCAAGGTCAAGAAGGTAACCTGGATGAGAACTCTCTATCGTAGCAAACTTCACAATAACTTTTCTCGTGCTTCACGGCAAATGCTTTTTCTAAAAAAATGTAATCCTGGTTTTCTTAAAAACAGATATATGCAGTTTAACATTTTCTTAAAAACAGATATACGCAGTTTAACATTTTCTTATAAACAGATATACGCAGTTTAACATTTTCTTAAAAACAGATATACGCAGTTTAACATTTTCTTAAAAACAGATATACGCAGTTTAACATTTTCTTAAAAACAGATATACGCAGTTTAACATTGTCTTAAAAACAGATATATGCAGTTTAACATTTTCTTAAAAACAGATATACGCAGTTTAACATTTTCTTAAAAACAGATATACGCAGTTTAACATTTTCTTAAAAACAGATATATGCAGTTTAACATTTTCTTAAAAACAGATATACGCAGTTTAACATTTTGTGAATTAAATAACAGTTTGTGAGATATTTTATTCATTTATAAAATATAACTAACGATTTGTGAAACATATATATTTTATATGCAACAAATTGTAATATATATTGAACAATTCGAGAAAAATATCTGACAATGTGTTAAATATAGCTAACAACTTACCTAGTAAGGAGAGGGAACACCGGAAGCAGGTGAAACAGGATTCATGCCAATGCTGATCCTGTACATAATATCCTGTACATAATATACTGTACATAATATCATGTATATAATATCCTATAAATAATATTATGTACATAATATCTTGTACATAATATTCTGTACATAAAATCCTGTACATAATATCCTGTACATAATTTCCTGTACATAATATCCTGTACATAACATTTTATAAATAATTGCAAGTACATAATATTCTGTACATAATATCTTGTACATAATATCCTGTACATAACATCCTATACATAATATCCTGTACAGTGTACATAATATCCTGTACTAAGATAGAATTTCGTAAACTGTGATATAATCTCATAAAACGGAGAAAAAATCGTGAGAAAAAAAAATTATCTAATGAAACTTTGACAGAATCGTATTAACTGTGATAGCATCTTATAAAACTGTGACAAAACTGCTTCAAACTGTGATAGAAACTCATAAAACTTTGAAAGAATCTTATAAAACTGTGAGAGAATATTATGAAAATTTAACAAAATCGCAAAAAACTGTAGACATAAACCCCTACCTTATATGAAATATCTCTGGAATCCAATCCGATTTTATTTGTACACACTCGGCATCTGAAATATAATTACTTTTATTCTTCACATATGAGTCATGAGGTATTGGAATTGAGTCTTTTTGCCACAAACTCTGATTTTTATTTCCCTATACTTTGCAACCAGATGTTGTAGTTCTTAGATATTTAAATCTATGAATTCTGTTAAATCACATAATCTAAGTTTGAAATATCAAAAGTTCAAGATTCAGGGTGCAAAGATATAGAAAATAGAAAATTTAAGTTCGTGGCAAAGGCTTAATTCCTTTTCCTTTAGTTACAGCAAGAACCTGAGAACTGTGGAATAAGAAGACGATATTTAAGCATTACTTAAGCGTATTTAGGTCTGTTTACAATGCCCAATTTCTGTGTCTCATGTTTATTGGACTATTTAAAGTTATAACTTGAGCCTAGAAGTCATTTAAAGTTACAACTTAAGCCTAGAAGTCATTTAAAGTAATAACTTGAGCATAGAAGTCATTTAAAGTTAAAGATTGAGCCTAGAAGTCATTTAAAGTTATAAATTGAGCCTAGAAGTCATTTAAAGTTATAGATTGAGCCTAGAAGTCATTTAAAGTTATAACTTGAGCCTAGAAGTCATTTAAAGTTATAGATTGAGCCTAGAAGTCATTTAAAGTTATAACTTGAGCCTAATTTAAAGTTATAGATTGAGCCTAGAAGTCATTTAAAGTTATAACTTGAGCTTAGAAGTCATTTAAAGTTAAAACTTGAGCCTAGAAGTCATTTAAAGTTATAACTTGAACCTAGAAGTCGTATTTAGATTCTCACTCACTGTATGACGAAATGCTATGTAAACATTAAAATTAAATATTAAAATTGCAGTGAATTTTAAATTGTAAAATTGGTAAACAAATAGGTCGTCACACGTTTCTTTTTTTCTCAAAAATGAATGATTTCTGGTCGGCATATTTTCTTCAGAAATAAGAAAAATACTTTTAAACTAGAGATATTTGTTGAACATTTTTTTTCATTAATTATAAATGCATTTTAGAATGAAATTTTTTGTTTGGCAAAAATGTTGATTTTTGCGAGATTGTTTAGTGCATTTTCAAACCAAATGAATAAAGTCTGCGTGTATTAAATCTTAAAATCGAATTAAAAAACTAATATTTTACCTATTTGTAAAATTTTCTTCATAACATGAAATGCAGCAGGGGTGATCATCTGTTAGAACATATCTAAATAAATAAAAAATCCTTTATTATTTTAATATTTAAATATTTTGTCTTGTTTTTGTTGAAAAATTAATCGTTTCTCAAGTCAAAAAAAAGAAAAATATTATTTTATAAATATTTCAATATTTAAATGTTTATTTTGTTTTCAATATTTAAAAAAATATTTTAATTACATTTTTATTTTTATTATTATTATTATTACTATAGCTGAAGTGCCCGGCGTATCCCGTGGAGTTTTAAAAAGACATGTACTTAAAAAAAATTCGCCTAATTTATCCTCTGGACACCAATGGGTTCCCTCAAAAAATTAATTAATTATTATCATCATTATCATTACTAATATTATTTTTATTATAAAGCTCTTCTAAAACTCCTAAAACTCTAAAAGCTCTTTTATATTTGTATATTAATATGTTAGAAAAAACTGTCAATATGGCTGGACCAAGTTGGCTGAAATTTTTTTAGGGTGCCTATGAGTACTTGGATGGTAAAATGTCGGCTAAGAAAATTTGAAATTTCTTTCTTTAAAATTCGAATTGGGTTCCTGCAGTGTTTTAAAATTCGACGGGCAACGCCGTGCACTTTAGCTATCGTCATCATTTATCATTTTTATTGTTATTATAATATTTTTATTATTATCAATTATAATTATCATAATAATTTTTTCATAATGATAATTATTTATGATTTATTTCAATTCTAAATTCTACCTTTTCCCATTTAAAGATACGTCACAGTGCCAGCAGCTAAATAGTGTCAAAATGTTATAAATTCCAAGATTTTTATAAATAATATTTTTATAAATAATATTTTTATACATAATATTTTTATATCTATCTTTGTATCTATCGCGCTATCTTTTTCTCTATTGATCTATCTATCTATCTCCCTCTCTATCTATTAATTCATTTATCTATCTATCTATCTCTCTATCTGTCTCGCTATCTATACTTCTTTTTATAAATCTATATTTATCTATCTATCTATCTATCTATCAATCAATCTATATATCTATCTATCTATCTATCTATCTATCTATTTATCTATCTCGCTATCTATATATAGTTTTATAAATCTATATTTATCTATCTATCCATCTTTCAATCTATTTTCCTGTCTTTCTATTAATTCATCTATCTGTCTATCTATTTATTCATCTATCTGTCTATCTATTGATTCACCTATCTATCTCTTTAGCTATCTCCATGTCTATCTAATAATTCATCTATCTATAAATCTATCTTTCTATCTATCTATTTTCCTTTCAATATATCTTCCTATCTATCTATTAATTCACCCATCTATCTATATCTAAATTTATATATATCTATCTATATCTGTGAAAGCTAACTGTCACTATCCCCAATTTGACGTGAAAACAAACAATTTTAATTTAATTAAATTTCCTTCAGGTGACCTCACCCTGTCAAGCTTAATCTCAATCATTATGTTTTTATGCAAAAGAAAAAGCTAGAATTTAATTATTTATTTATGAGTTTTAATATTTCATAAACTCCAATTAAACTTTGTGATTTAAGAAGTTAAGAACCTAGAAAATGCAGAATGTACAATCATTGTGCATTTATCAATTTTCCAGACCAGCTCAACCATGAAGCGTCGCATTGCCTTAGCTTTTTAGCCATTCTAATTCAATATAATTTTGTGGAGTCCCAGATATTTGATTTGCATATAAGCTTTCAATTTTTCTCTTTCTATACATTATTCTAGCTTTATCATTACAAGTAAAAGTAATAGCGATACAAACATTTGAGATTGCTCGGTTCAATTGTTTTGATGTTTATTGAAAACAGAAATAATTGTGTAAAACCAAAAAGAAAGATTTTTTTTAATTATTGATTTTGAGTATTGTATTGAATAAAACAAATTGTCAGGCCCAAAATTTAGTAAAAAAAATACTAGAGAAATAAGTCAAAAAGGGAATTTTTATTATAAATCTAAATGTTTTTGAGTAAACAGACAATTAAATATCATTTTTAAAAAGAAGATCAATTTTAAAAAATAAAAATATTAATATGAAGAATGTAGAACCCTTAGTAAAATTAATTCACTTTTTGGCGGGATTGAAACATAATTTTCTGGCAAATATATCTATCTATTTATCTATCTATCTATCTATTTATCTACCTATCTATCTGTCTATCTATCTATCTATTTATCTACCTATCTATCTGTCTATCTATCTATCTATTTATCTACCTATATGTCTGTCTATCTATCTATCTATTTATCTACATATCTGTCTGTCTATCTATCTTATCTATTTATCTACCTATCTGTATGTCTATCTATCTATCTATTTATCTACCTATCTGTCTGTCTATCTATCTATCTATTTATCTACCTATACGTTTGTCTATATATCTATCTATTTATCTATTTATATGTCTGTCTATCTATCTATCTATTTATCTACCTATATGTCTGTCTATCTATCTATCTATTTATCTACCTATCTGTCTGTCTATCTATCTATCTGCTAAATCAGCAATATCTTGACGGCGAAGGTGTGATATCTGTCAATCCAAAAATCAAGTTATTTATCTATCCATCTATCATTATATCTATCTATCTATCTATCTATCAATATATATAGAGTTGTGCAAATAATTTTTACTACTGAGGATCGTCATGATAGCCATTATGTTTGCATAATTCTTTTTTAATAAAAATGTAAAGTTAAAAACTGAAATATATACATATATATCTATTTACCTAAAATGATTAAGATGCCACTCTGAGTTAAGAGCCCGAATATAGCTTCCAGAGAAAATAAGTTCCTCACAAAGTCCACAGCGAGGCTTTAACCTGCAAAATAATAAAATAAATATAACTAGCTGAAGAGTCTCGCGTTGCCAGTGGGATGTTAAAAACCCTAGATCCTGTGCCGAAATACCACTTATTTCATTGGCCTGAATTAATTCGGAGGTTATTGGCGAATCTTTTTATGTATATTTTCGATAATTTCTTCATCAATACAGTTTTAGAATACATATTATATTAAGCATACAATTATTTTCAATGTCTTTAGTTCATTTTGTTATTTCCCAACAAGAAATTATAATTGCCTTATCTTCTTATATAAACTTTTTGAAAGAACAAAACTATGTTTCATTTATCAAACATTTTATTTACGTAATGGTTTTAATAGTTCTTAGAAAAATGTATTTTTTACGTAACATTTAATAAGTTATTTTTATTATTGCATAGAATTGAAATACGAGAATAGTTAAGTCTCTAAATATCTATGTAATAAAAAGCAATTATAATTGTAATTATCTTGAAAACCCGATACATTTTCTGTATCGCATAATTATTTCGATAAAATATATATATATTCAATATATTCAATTCATTGTTCAATAAAAAAAACAGATAAACATCCTCATAAACAATGTTTCATGGACCAATTTTCATGACTCATGGACCAATCTTCAGTGAGGTCTGTTCTCGACTGCAAAATATTCCAGTATTGTTTTCTGTTTGCGTATTTTCAGGAAAGAGTTGGCGGATTAGTGTTATTCGAATAAAAATAAAAATTCACCAGAAGCTCTTTATCTTGGTGTCGGTATTTATTGAGAATTTCTGTTCTTTTGTTAAATGAGTTTTCTTTATTTTTTATCATTATCAACGTTTTTTCCAATACACAAAGCTTCCTTCTTATATGTTGGTGCCAATGCTCTGATACTATGATATATATATAATGGGTGATTGCCCTTTCAAAAATTGTCTATAGCAATAGGCATAAAACGTTCTATACGTTGGTCTTTCTCCTTCAGCCAGGGGAGCGATTGCAACAATATTTACTTTTGTATGTTTCTCTAAACGTTACGGTACGTTTGTGTAACATACATATTTCCTAGTAATTTCTAGGTCAAAGTTAGAGACAGAAGTATTATGTTGGTTAATTATATTTTATAAAATTTTGTTTCTCTCACATTAGCATGTTTTGTTTTATAACTGGATTCAATTTTTCTTTAAATTGGGAATGTTTTATTGTTTGTGATTAGCTCACGTGGATTTAACGTCAATATTCCAGAAAGCTGTGACTTTCGGTCACAATTTGACCCATTAAACATAATTTGTTAGCCTTTTCTATTAAATACTTTTTTGTTGGCATATGCTTTTTCAAATGAAAATGTATAAAATAAACAAATCCGTAAAGTAAATGATTATTGAATTAAAGACCAAAACTCGTTTGATTACAAATAGAAGAAACCGAATGCTGCTCACTCTAGTCCGGTGTGAGCTAGTAAACTATGAAATCTCTTTTAAGCTGTGTTAAATCTTTAGCTTGTAAATAGTTTAGATCAAAGAAAATACCATTTTGTGGAAATGGCATGATTGGGAATATTAAACTTTAGTATTCCTACCATTCATTTCGTAAATATTTTGTTAAATTACAAAGCATTCGTATCACAGTTGCTAAAACCTATTGATAGACTGTAAAAATTCCAAAAACTTACAATGTTATAAATGCTTAACAGTTTTCAGAATGGACCTATATGATGAATGTTTGAGGATAAACGATTTTGATCATTTTTTTAACATGGTCTTAAAATTCAGACACCCCCTGCAAAATTCAATTCAAAGTTAGAAACCTCAAATTTGTAATTTTAATCCCAGATTATATCTTGTGAGTTTATTTTAAGTATATTAAAATGTCCTACATTTAAAGAGATTATAAACTTAGAGAGAGGGGCTTTTAGACCTCAGCACCCCCCCTCCCCTGGATCAGTGATATCTATGGTTTCAAGGGATATATTAGGTCTAGATGGATGCTGAATCCCGACCCCCATGCAGAAAATATAAAAATTAGAACCAGGTTGATGAAATCAGAAGAAGCAAAAAGGCCGATTTAGGACTGCTAAAATTATAGTTCAGAATTGAGCCATTCTTGAAAATTCCACATTTTTGGGGGGTTTCAAAAGAAAATGATGTGTTTCATGTATTTAATGTATTTACTGTAGTGCCACTTTAAATTATTTAAAAAGGATTAATGTTGAAAATTTACAATACAAATCATGAGAAGCAAATATCTAAAAATTTTATATTTCACATTTAAACGGATATTTTATCCCTCTTTCTCTCAAGAATGCAAGCAGTCTTAGATTTAATGTCCCCCCCTTTATTCATATGAATGTTGAGTCTAAATTGAAAGTCCCCTTCTACTTATTGGTGGGGAGGAAGGGTAGAGACGGGCGCGTTTGGAGTTTCTTTTCCTTTCGTTCGTTCGTCGATCCTTTTTCGTGTTTTTTTTTCAACCGTTTGTTTGAAAAATTGTTTGATTACCCAAAAACGATAGTTTTTATAAGTTTGTTAAATAATCGTTCGTTCAGAGACAAAACGATTTTTTTGGGTCATTTTTAAAAAATGATAAGTTTTTATTGACCAATCCATTTTATTCATCCATTCGTTATTTTTCTGACGATGCTATTTGTAAGGGAGGGGGCCGGGGGGGGGGGGATTTGGCATTGATGTTTGTGAGATTTGAAAATCTAAATTCACTAGAAAATGTCAACTAAAGGACTATTTTCAACTTTTATGATAATAATTAGCCCCTCTCCTTCTCTTACTGAAACTTCCTGACCTTATCCTTCCCTCCTTCTAGAGTATAGAGCTAAGTGTGATTAAAAGGATTGAGTTTAAAGAGAAATAAAAATAAACAGTTTAGGGCTGGATACTTTCCACAAAACATAAAAAAAGAATTTAAGCAAAAATGAAAACATACATGCGTGTTGTATGAAGTAGTATGGAGATTAGTTAAGAAGAATGGAATAAAAGGGGGGGGAATGAGGAGGGGGGGAGGGGGAGGGGTTACCAGAGAAATCAAGAGAGGGTGAAGATATATAAAGTTGCGAATAAAATAGACTGTGAAGAAGCATAACAAAAGTGAGAAGGAATGATAAAAGAAAAGAAATTAAATAATTTAAGAGAAAGAAAAAAGGAACAATTTCGAAAAAATCGCGTATTTTCAACAAAAAGAGCTTTTTCCTACGTTTGTTGCCAAAAAAGTAATTTTTTGTCGCTTATTTGGCAGCCATCCGACTTTTTCATTTCGTAATTTAGACTAGAGTGTGAGATTGTGGATTTTAAATTAAATCTTAGTAAAGTTACAACAAGTAAATCTGTCTACAGCTCGGGGGAATGATTTGCACCTCTCCCCTCCATTAGGTAGGATATGATAGGATAGGTAGGATAGATAGGATAGGTAGGATAGATAGGATAGGTAGGAAAGATAGGATATGAAAGGATAGGTAGGATAGATGGATAGGTAGGATAGATAGGATAGAAAGGATAGGTAGGATAGTTAGAATAGGTAGAATAGGTAGGATAGGTAGAATTGGTAGAATAGTTAGGATAGGAATGATAGGAAAGGTAAAATAGATAGGAGAGATAGGAAAGGAAGGATATATATGATAGATAGGATAGGTAGGATAGGTAGGATAGATAGGATAGATAGGATAAATAGGATAGATAGGAATGGTAGCATAGGTAGGATAGGTAGGATAAGGTAGGATAGGTAGGATAGGTTGGATAGGCAGGATAGGTAGGATAGGTAGGATAGGTAGGATAGGTAGGATAGGTAGGATAGGTAGGATAGGTAGGATAGGTAGGATATGTAGGATAGGTAGGATAGGTAGGATAGGTAGGATAGGTAGGATGGTAGGATAGGTAGGATAGGTAGGATAGGTAGGATTGGTAGGATAGATAGGATAGGTAGGATTGGTAGGTTATGATAGGATATGTAGGATAGGTAGGATAGGTAGGATAGGTAAGATAGGTAGGATAGGTAGGGTAGATAGGATAGATAGGATAGATAGGATAAAAGGCTATACGAGAAGAAAAGAAAGGGAAGTAATAAATAAAATTGATGGGACAGGAACCACCCATAGGGACCCTCATATATATCATATCATAATATTTTAATCACAGAATACATATACAGCCATGCTCTTAACTAAATTTGTTTTGTGGGGGGGGGGGAGAGGCGGACCAGTTATAGAAGAAAAAAATGCATTGAGGAATAAACTTTGGTGGCATGGAAGAGCAAATAGTTGTGGCTCATGGCTCCCGGAGGAAAAAGAATATGAAATCTTGATTTAGTTTATTAGAAACATTTTTTTCTATCAACAGTTTCAGTGTGAATAATGTTGACCAACCTATTTTCCAATGCTTTATTTTTCTGTTAAACCATGTTTTTTCTTTAAATCTCATTTTGATTGCCAATGTCAAAATCGGACATAATGTTTTATAAAAAGTAATACCACTAATTGATTCAAAATCTACAAAAAATGATTTATCCAAGTTGGTCGAGTTATCATAATTGTGTTACATTGATTAATTACAAAATTTTACTCTTAAATCTTGAAGGTTTGGTTTGGTCTAAAATCTAGCATTTTTCAAGTGTACCAACAATTTAAGAATACAGAAAAAATCAAATCCACATAGTAGTCGTCTTAAATCCACATAGTAGTCGTCTTAAATCCACATAGTAGTCGTCTTAAATCCACATAGTAGTCGTCTTAAATCCACATAGTAGTCGTCTTAAATCCACATAGTAGTCGTCTTAAATCCACATAGTAGTCGTCTTAAATCCACATAGTAGTCGTCTTAAATCCACATAGTAGTCGTCTTAAATCCACATAGTAGTCGTCTTAAATCCACATAGTAGTCGTCTTAAATCCACATAGTAGTCGTCTTAAATCCACATAGTAGTCGTCTTAAATCCACATAGTAGTCGTCTTAAATCCACATAGTAGTCGTCTTAAATCCACATAGTAGTCGTCTTAAATCCACATAGTAGTCGTCTTAAATCCACATAGTAGTCGTCTTAAATCCACATAGTAGTCGTCTTAAATCCACATAGTAGTCGTCTTAAATCCACATAGTAGTCGTCTTAAATCCACATAGTAGTCGTCTTAAATCCACATAGTAGTCGTCTTAAATCCACATAGTAGTCGTCTTAAATCCACATAGTAGTCGTCTTAAATCCACATAGTAGTCNCCCGTTTCCTCATCACATCAGAACCCCTCCCCCCCCCTCAAATCAGCGACTTTCCACCCCTGTCTCCCAGAGTAGATTATCCCACTATTTTATTGTTCTTAAATTGAGTCTAATTCGCCTACAAACTGAAACTACAAATTGAAACTGAAAAAAAACAGTTCACAGAATTCTCCGCTGAATTGCCTGGGGTGGAAACATTCCTATCGAAATGAGAGGGTTGAAAAGAGGATGTTGCGTACTGTGCTGACAGGGTGGTCGGGAAAAAAATTCTAAAATGTGTCTGATTCACTTCAAATAAAGTAAATTACAAGTGTAATATTTAAATATTAAATGGTTTCAATCATTGCTCCTTGTAACAAAAAGCTATTGAAAAGAAAAAAAGGTTTCGTTTTTACTTCTCATGCTTATGTGTTAAATTGTAACAGGTTTCTTTTTTACTTCTCATGCTTATGT